CACTCAATGCTACTTTAGCACACCTGTTTTTGCCACCTGAGGGGGGGGGGGATTAAACCTGGAAATAGAAAGCATATGTTTTTGTAGTAAACAAAAGAAAGGGGCAGACATAGGGACAGGTAAAGTAATCTGGGGGAAACGTAAAGCAGAATCGTGCTGAATCTGACTAAAAGTTTATTATCTACTCCAGCAACCTATTTCCCACTCTGGCCTACCTCACACCATGGAGACGAAGGCTTTCTCCTTTGTTATTGCCCCAACAGCGGCTTGTATTTAAAGGTATACTGCCATCGAACATGGAGGTTTCATTTAGCCATTGCGGTGAACAACCATGGGTTCCCTGAGGGCAGTGAATTTTAAAACCGCTGCAGTTAGGGTAGCCGTCTTCCGGTTGGGGCCTGGAGATCTCCCGCTATTGTGACTGATCTTCAGGTGATAGATATCAGTTCCCCTGGAGAAAATGGCTGATTTGGAGGCTGGACTCTATGGCATTGTACTCCGCTGAGCTCTTCCTTATGGCACACCAGTGTTCCCTCTAAGCTGTGTGAGCTAGCTCACAGTTTTTTACCCTCCGGCTCACACATTTTTGTCTTGGCTTCAGACGTATGGCTCCAGAGCAGACTAATCTATGCGGCAGCCAAATCGCTCGCTCACAACTTTTAATGCCAGTAGCTCACAAAGTGACATTCTTGCTCACAAGACTCCGCAGCTTAGAGGGAGCATTGCTGCACATGGATGAACTTGAAAGTTGCCGACTTGTTCACGGAGCCTGCATCTGTTAACAGAGGACAAGGCAAGGCTATGCTCATATGTGGGCCTGTTTAAACTTAGTATATCCTTTTTAAAAAGTGCTGTAGAACTTTAAACACTCAGTATATTGCCTGGAAAGGAGAAAAAACACACACGTATGCTCTCTCCTTCTCTCTCCCTCCTTTCTTATTGGCTGTTTTTCTTGCTGTCATGTCCTCAGACAGAGATTTGGGTCTTTCGCATCTTATTAATCATTCCTTTTTTGTTAAAGCAGGAGTTTCTTTTCATCTTGCTTGCCTGCCAACAATAAAAGGTCATTACTGAAGTGTCTTTTACAGTCAATTCATAACTCTAATCTCAGCATGTGTTTAATTCCCCAAGTGCCGGCCTCTCAAAAGCACTTGTAAAATGCAAACCAAAGGAGGGGTGGGGGGTGGGGAATTAAAGAGAGAGCTGAGAGCATCGTCTGGTTACAAATGAAAACTGGAAGTTCCTGCACTAGCCTTGACGATGCCACATGAACTAAAAAGAATAAAGAGCCTCTTCCAGTTTTAATTTTTGGTGCTGCTTATAAACCTTTCTTATGGAAATAATGGCATTTCCACAAATACTGTGGAACATTCTCTCATAGAAACAGGGGTCATTTCGTAGAAAAAGAGGTGCAGGAGCTCATTAGCATAACTCATTAGCATAACTTATTTGCATATGCCACGCACCCTGACATCACCGGAAGTGTGTCAGAAGGCAACACCCACTGCAACTTACCTGGCTGCTTCTTTCTCCTTGTGGCCCAGGGCTGCTGGGAGCAGGGGGCGGGGCTTGTTGCATGTGCCTGCCCCCTGGGCTCTTTACTAGCGGAGCTCCGCTCCTGTGCGCTCCTGCAAGAAATGACCCCTGCGGCTCAGTACTTAACAGACACGACTCATTTTGGGCTTTTCCATACTTTCTACTTACTCTTAATTGTCTTGCCATCATTTTCTCACCAATCCTCCAGAATGGCCCATTGTTGGAAGTTACAAGTTAGAACACTTCTATTCAGTATTTACTGAGTTAATGCTGTGTTCTAAATCACATGTTTGTTTGTATCCTATCTGCTTAGAGAGTTAGAAAGCCCGCCAGATACAGATCTAGTTTGTTGTCCTGATTGGAAGATAGAGTGGCTAGTATTAGCATTTTATGACCCTTTGTCCAGAGCTAAGAAGAAGCTCCACTCTCCATTAGACCTTAGCCATGTAAGGAAGTCTATCTAGACATGAGGATGTAGAAATAAAGCTCTTTGTTATTTTACCTCCTGTTTACCCTACCCTTGATAGGTTGTTAGTAAACTTTTATATTTTGAAACTACCATGGACTCAGACTCATTTTTACTCTGCTAAACTCTGCTGAATTAAGAAATTAAGAAATTAAATACTAAACCATCTAACACCCATGCATCCTCTTTATTTTACTTTATTTCTTATTTGGAATAATAGATTAGAATAGTAGATTATAATGTAACGTAATGAATAGTAGAATGTAATGTAATTTGGAATGGTCGATGGGAATGTGTTTCTCCGGCCTGGGGACAGGGGAAATCTACACAGCCAATCGCCCCACTTCAAAAAAGATGCTGTAAGAGGCGACGGATGTAGCATAATGGCAGGGTCTCAGTTAGAACAAATTTTGAGTCCAGTGGCACCTTTAAGACCAACAAAGGTTTATTCAAGGTATAAGCTTTTGTGTGCACGCAGGGTCTCAGTTAATTACCATCAGCATTCCACAATTAAGAATACCTCTGCCCATCAGTCTCCAAGTTTGACATATTTATTTCCTTCATCGCCCCCCCCCCAATTAAGCCCAAACAAATGGTAGCCATATAAACTAAGCTTGCTATTCTTGTTTGGTCCTTGAATCTGTTAAACATCTTCATTATGCTGTATGCCAATTTACTGCTCACCCTCTAGAGATGTAAAATTTCCGGAAATTTTGAAGCTCAGAAAAAAACCTATATTTTTTCAGGGGGAAACAGAGATTTTCGGAAAAATTGAAAAAAATGCTACATTAGCATTTCTTTTGTTTTCTAGATTGAAAGTCATTCTGTTACTTTAGGAACATAAAATATGACTATGGACATTTTTACTTGGCATGAAATTATCACAACTAGCATATTAAAAATATAGTGTATCCAAACAATTATTACAAACAGAATACCCACCCACATGCAAAAACAAAACTGAAACCTTTTTCTTTTCTTGTGACAATAGCACCTCCTAAAGGAAGAAATGCATCTTGTTCTTGCATTGGAGAGTTCAGTTTGTAACCTAGGACTTGCTTGTCCTCAGTGCACAGAAATTAGATCAATCTGATACTATACATATTTTTTAGAAATGATTTGGAAAATATTTGAACACCTTGTCTTAAAATATTTTATTCATCATGTTAAAATGTTCCATAATCATTTTTTTCTTTTCTTTTTTTCAATTCTTCCAATTTTTTGGAAAAAAACAAAAAAGGCTTCAGAAAAAACAAAAAAGGGTTCCCCCAAAAAATTTTCCATTCCCCCCCCCCCCGGGCCTTTTACATCTCTATCACCCTCTACCTGTATGTATGGACTGGTAATTTCCATTTCATTGTATCTGAAGAAGTGTGCATGCACACGAAAGTTCATGCCTTGAATAAAACTTTGTTGGTCTTAAAGGGGCCATTGGGCTCAAACTTTGTTCTCCTAATTTTCTTGGCAGTCAGTTTTCTTGGCATTGGAAGCGGCTTGGGTGTGGTTCTTCCCCATGTCTGCCCTCCCTCTGCATATTCACAGTAGTGAAGTCAGTTTATTTGCCATTTTCCTTGTATCTCCATGAGAGATGGGAATAGAGACTTACCTTTTTAAAGATGAGGATAGAGACTTACCTTTTTAAAAAAATGCAATCTGGGAATTCTGAGAATCTGCTAAACCAATCATTACAGTGGAAGAAAAAGGCAACTCAGAATCAGCTTCCAGAAATAGATTGGAGTGAAAGTGGTCTCAAAAGAAAAAATAGAGGTGGGCGGGGGAATTAATGCGAAAACTACAGGCACAAAAATGTGTGAGAAATCAGGGAATAAACTGAAGCAGTAAGGCCAGAGTTAACAAAACCCATGCAGAAAAGCCCTGCACTCCAAATATGGAAGAGCTACATCCAAGACCAGTAGCACCTTAGAGGGAGGGAAGGTGGCATGGCACGGCCTGATCTTGGAAGCTTAGCAGAGTCAGCATCAGATGGGAGACCACCAAGGAAGACTCCGCTGAGGAAGGCAATGGCAAATCACCTCTACCTCTCACTTGCCTTGAAAACCCCTTATCAGGGTTGCCATAAGTTGGCTGCAATGGGACAGCCCTTTACACACACACACAAAGAAGAAGAGATTGGATTTATACCCCGACCTTCACTACCCAAAGGAGTCTCAGAGCGGCTTATAAACTCCTTTCCCTTCCCCTCCCCACAACAGACACCCTGTGAGGTAGGTGGGGGCTGAGAGAGCTCTTGACAGAAACTGCTCTTTTTCAAGGACAGCTGTGCCCAGATCTATGTCTTGCCCAAGGTCCTCCAGCAGGTGTAAGTGGAGGAGTGGGGAATCAAACCCAGTTCTCCCAGATTAGAGTCCCCGCACTTAACCACTACACCAAACTGGCTCTCCTTGGAGACCACCAAGATTTGGGAGATATCAGCTTTCAAGCGTCAGAGTCTCCTTTGTCGGATTCCAAACATAATTATTTGTTTTGTGAGCCAAAAGAATGTTGGGGACTGCCGTTTGGCGAAGGGTGTTCATATGAGGATTCTCTGAGATTCTTTGCCTTTCTCTCTCACAGGACAATAGTACCCAGAATTCCCTGGGGAAAGAGAACAACCATTTGAACCAAGGTTTTAAGTTTGTAGTGTTGCAGTGACCAGAGTAACTAAATACATTCTAATGATTTGTGGGTAGGATACTTCCTGTGGGCTGCGTCAGAAAGATACATGGGCCTTTTATCTGTGTCTGTGCACCTGAAGTTGCCTAATACCGATCAGACTATTCGTCCACATAGCCCTGTACTTCGGCTTTGACTGCTGTACTCTTCTTTTAGCTGGGAATGCCGGGAATTTGAATCTGGGACCTTCTACATTGGGAGCATGCGCTCTGCCACAAAACTATGGGCTCCTCCCTGAATTGCACATTTTCTTAGTCCCAAAGTCCCACCGGTGTGCATGTGTGTGCACTCTCCCAGTCTGCTAATAACCTCCTTGTCATTTCAGAAAAAGAGCCGAGAAGAGACGTGCGGTGAAGGCAGCGGTGTCGAGATTTTGGAAAACCGGCCGTACACAGATGGTCCTGGTGGTAACGGACAGTACACCCATAAAGTATACCATATTGGTATGCATATTCCCAGTTGGTTTCGGTCTATACTGCCAAAGGCAGCATTAAGAGTCGAAGAGGAGTCCTGGAATGCGTATCCTTATACAAGGACAAGGTATTTCTTTCTCTCCCCGTCCTGTCCTTTATGCGTTGATAATTTCCCAGACAGAGTGCTTTGTAAGGTTACCCTTCGTTTGTCTCCCCAGCAGCCCTGTGATGTAGGACATGCTGATTCCCATTTCATAATGGGGAAACGACTGCTTTCCTTCCGGCAGCCCATGCTTATGGTGGTGCTCTGTTCAGGACAAAGGTTTCCCTTGCTCGAAAGCCAGTCGAATCCGACTCTAGGGATGTGGTCAGGGGTCATTTCGTAGAAAAAGAGCTAGGGGAACTCATTAGCATAACTCATTAGCATATGCCACACACCCTGACATCAGGGGCCTGGCGGTGGACTTGCAAGGCCAGCGGGAGTACGAGGAAGCCCCGCCAAGGCCCTCCCTGGCCCCAGGCAGGCAGGGGTGGGGAGAAGCGGGGAGGAAGCAACCTACCCTCCCTCTTCTCCTGCCTCCTCCTGGCTGAATGAGGGCTGGAAGCGGGGCGGCCGGAAGCAGGGGGCGGGGCTTCGTCATGTGCCCCACCCCCCTGCACCTCACCCGGGGGAACTGTGTTCCCCTGCGTTCCCCCCCGAAATGACCTCTGGATGTGGTGCTCATCTCTGTTTCCAAGCCAAAGAGCCAGTGCTGTCCGAAGACGTTTCCATGGTCATGTGGCTGGCATGACTAAACACCAAGGCGCACGGAACGCTGTTACTTTCCCACCGAAGCAGTACCTATTTATCTACTTGCAATTTCTTGTTTTCGATCTGCTAGGTTGGCAGGAGCTGGGGCCAGAGATGGGAGCTCACTCCGTCACGCGGCACCCGGGTCTCGAACTGCTGACCTTCTGGTCTGCTGTTCAGCATCTTAACCACTGAGCCACCGCAGCCCCTCAGGACAAAGAAAGGATCTCATTTGCTTGTATGCTTTCTCTCAAGCCCCAGTTAGAACGTTTGCAAGCGGTGTATAAAATCGCATACTCAGAGGTTGTATTCTGCACCTTTGCAAACGGGTTGAATTCTTACGTCACATTTCGTGATTGTGGTTCTCAGACATTTGACCGGACGTAGCAGTGCCTGAGAGGCAGTGCTCTATAGTGGTTAGAGTGTTGGACCAGGACTCTGGTTTATGTCTTGATGATGCTGAAGCATATTAGGTGATCTTGGGCCAGTCACATGTTCTCAACTAAGCCTAGAAGAGAAGAAGAGATTGGATGTATACCCCGCCCTTCACTACCCAAGGGAACTCCTTTCCCTTCCCCTCCCCACAACAGACACCCTGTAAGGTAGGTGGGGCCGAGAGAGCTCTGACAGACACTGTTCTTTTTCAAGAACAGCTCTCGTCAGAACTATGGCTTGCCCAAGGTCACCCAGCAGGTGCAAGTGGAGGAGTGGGGAATCAAACCCGGTTCTCCCAGATTAGAGTCCACGCACTTAACCACTACACCAAACTGGCTCTACCTTACCAGAGGCTCTTTTGAGGATAACATGCAAGAGAGAAGAATGCTGGCACAAGGGTAGTAGGTACCATTCCATCACTGTCATCTTTAACATTCCCAAGTCCTTCAGCCCATCTTTAATTGCTGTTTGCAATACGGGACTCACTTTTACTTCACTTCTGAATCCTGTTTTTACCTTTTGGCGGTCTGCGTCCACCTGGTACTCCCCCCACACACACACACACTTTTGCCCTTTCCTTTCTCTCCTCGTTTTCTGGCTTCCCGTTCCTCTTCCGAAAGAACAGTCACGGGGAGGCGGGTAGAACTCACCGTAGGGCATGTAATGACTCACTGTGAGCGCTCCAGCCTCTAACAGATCCAGACTGTCAAGCTGGGTTCATTCTGTGCTCCCAGGCCGGCCCGTGGGAGAGGAACTGCCGGGACTCAGCCGTGTCAGCTAATTAATCTCTCTGCATCAGGAGGCCGGGGCAGGCGAGGCTTCCTGACCCCCCACCCCCACCCCTTTTCTGGGTCACGCTGGCTTATGGGTCTGACTTGCGGATTCTCGGCTGCAGACCTTTTGTCTTTTCTCCCCATTGCCCTGCTTCATTTCCCCCTGCCTCAGCCCCTTGTTTTCGTTTGTGTATCGCAAGAACATAAGAACTTAAGAGAGAAGCCAATGCTGGATCAGGCCAACACTCCGTCACACAGTGGCCAGAAATACCAGGTGCCCTCAGGAGGTCCAGCAGTGGGGCCAGGACACTAGAAGCCCTCCCACTATTGCCCCTGCCCCCCCAAGCACCAAGAATACAGAGCATCACTTGCCCCAGACCGAGAGTTCCTGTCTATACCTTCTGGCTAAGAACGAACCTAAACAGCATGATAAAAAGTAGAGACATCACCCTGCCAACAAGAGTCCGCATGGTCAAAGCAATGGTATTCCCAGTAGTCATGTATGGCTGCGAGAGTTGGACTATAAGGAAGGCCGAGCGCCAAAGAATAGATTCTTTTGAACTATGGTGCTGGAGAAGACTCTTGAGAGTCCCTTGGACTGCAAGAAGATCAAATCAGTCAATCCTAAAAGAAATCAACCCTGACTGTTCCCTGGAAGGCCAGATAATGAAACTGAAGCTCAAATACTTTGGCCACCAAATGAGAAGGGAGCACTCACTGGAAAAGACCCTGATGCTGGGAAAGATTGAAGGTCAAAAGACGGGGACGGCAAAGGATGAGATGGTTAGACAGTGTCA